CTTTTGTCTTAATCTATGTCAGCTGTGTCTAAAAGTGACACAGCGGACTAGCTTGCTGCAGATTGTAGGGCTAGGAATGTGGCTTTGAGAAGAGTAAGGGTTTCCTTGGTGTGTATCTTTGGTCCACACAGAGTTCAGGGTCCCCCTGGTGGATGTACTAGCCAAGGCCTTGTTCTTGGTGCTGAAGGAGACAAGGATGGTAGCCCCTTTGTCCTACTGGCAAGCCTAAGTGACGCTGGGGTTTGTGGCACCAATTGCTGTGGCTCTAGGACTGTGTGATACAGATTGACCCTTCCTAAGGTAAAGTCAGGAGAGTCTAAGTGATGCTGTGGCTTATAATGCCAATAGCCCTAGTCTTAAGACTAGGGGATGTGAACGGAACCCTATTTCAGCCCTATAGGGTGACTTCAAAGTATACAGGAGATTTTACTCTGGAGGATGGATATGAGTCCAGAGAGGTGGAATACAGGTAGGTTCTTCCCTATGTCCACCAGGTAGATTGCAGTGGCACTGAGAAATTTAGAACGAATTGTTAACAGTCATGCTGTTGCAGGGTATAGTGGGGTCATTTCCTGGATTTCCCAAGGTGGAACCAGATTCTTTTTCTTAAGGATTGCTTCTGGTGTTAGCCCCTAGAAGCTAAGGTGAACCCCTCTTGCTGATACAGAGTGTGTGAGTGTAGCTCTGGGGCTAATGCCCCACAACTCCCACCATTGCAGGATGCAGGGGATCTGTTCTTTGCTCTACATGTTGCCCTGACTCTTGCTATGAAGCTGGTAGAGCAGATGTGTGCTGTGTGACTTGACTTTTTGCTGCCGAGTTTTGTGCTCCGTGGGAGTGAAGCAGGGGAAGGAAGCAAGTCGGCCTCCCTGCTGCATGCCAGGCAGTTGCTCAGATCACTGTCAGCTCTTCAGGCTGAAGTAAAAGTAAGAGAGTGACTGTAGAACTCACTGTCAGCTAAAACTGTGAGTAGTAGGGTGCATGGCGATTTCTTCCTGCGTTGAGGTGGTAAGGTGGCGGTTCATAGCCAGTAGCTGGCTGCAATGCAGAGCTGGCAGAGGCAGTGTCTCTGGCTTCTCTTCTCTTGTCCCACGGAGTCTTTGTTGTTTTCTTTTCACTTCTTTGCTGGAAATTTCTGACAGACACCCGGAAATGTAGTCCTTCTTTTCTTATCCTAGAGCAGATTAAATTAATGTGACTATACCCTATTCAGCCATATTGGATCAATGGTTATTTTTTATTTTTTTTAAATCCTGTTATAGTCATTTGTTTCTGTTTATATTATACTTTAGTTTTTTTCTCCTTCATCTTTGTGCATGCTTTATTATTTTTGAGTGTGTAAAACATTAGCATGCTCCCAGAAGTCAAAGTTATGCAGAAACTTATGTTAAGAGAAATATCATGAACACCATTCCATCTCTTGCACCTCATTTCCACCTACTTCTTATCAGTGATCAACAACATTGGTTTCTGCTTTATCTTGTTTTCCTTCTTTTTGTAAAAACAGGCAGATTCAGTATTTTTCTTATCTCCCTCCTTTTGTTATATAAAGATACTATAAGCTCTTGTTATTTTCTTGTTTCCCTTAACAAAATACTTTCTAAATCATTCCATATCAGTTTATAAGATATTCCTTTTAAAAATTGCTTTTTAGAAAGCTTTTATTTAGTAAATACAAATTTCATAGGTACAGCTTTTGGAATATAGCAGTTCTTCCCCCCCATAGCCGTGCTCCCACCCCCAAACCATCCCACCTCCTAGTCCCTCTCTCATCCCATTCTTCATTAACATTAATTTTTAATTATCTAAAAAATTATTTATGTTCATTTTATTTGAAAGGCAGAGACAGAGCCAGACAGATGCAGAGAGATCGTCTATCCTTTGGTTCACTGCTGAAGTGCCTGCAGCAGCCAGGACTGGGTCAGGCCAAGGCAAGAGGCCCAAAACTCTATCTGTGTCACCCACTTGGGTGGCAGGGACCCAAATACTTGAGCTGTCACCTGCTGCCTCCCAGGGTGTACATTAGCAGGAAGCTTAATAGGAAGTGGAGTTGCCAGGATTTGAACCAGGTACTCTGATGTGGCATGTTGGCATCCAAGTAGCTATTTAACCACTGGGCCAATTGTCTACCCTTCCTTGCCAGTATTTGTTTGACAGCTACATAGTGCTCCATTAGTGGATCTATCATAGTTTTTTTTTTTTTTTTAACATAAATGGCATTGAAATTGGTTCATATATAATGTATATATATATATATATTAAATTTTTATTTATTTGAGGTTAGAGAGAGTCAGAGAAAAATGGACAGATGGACAGAGAGCATCCATCTGTTTTTTTTTTTCCCCCCCAAATGCCTGCAGTGGTCAGGGCTGGACTGGGATACAGCAAGGAGCTGAGAATATAATCTGGATCTCCTATCGGGGTGGCAGGATCCCAGTTACTTCAGCCATCACTCTTGCTTTTCAGGGTCAGCATAGGCAGGAAGTTGCAGCTAAGATCTGGGGCTGGGTGTCAAACCCAAGCACTGGGCATCTTAACCACTATGCCAAACACCTCTTCTCAGTATTTTGTCACTGGAAATGATGAAGCAAATAGTAGCCTTGTACAAATGTATTTTCATATTGTTGGGCATATACTTCATGATAAATTATTATAAACCAGCTTGATGGGTGAAAGGGAACTATATTATGTAACTTTGTTAAGATGCTGGCCATGTTCCATTCTGCATTCCTATCATGCATGGGTGAGTACATTTCCTTTCAACTTTGCCAACCAAGGGAGTTGTCAAGCTGTTATATTTTTGCAGTTGTAGTGGTATCTGAAGTTGCCCATCTTCAGAGATTCTTAAATATCACAAATACACACATATACACACTTGTACTCCATGGGTATTTGCTCATGTTTTTGCCCATTTTATTTTTTCTATCAGACTGTAGGTCTTTTTTTCCCTTGCAATTTTTTTTAAAGATTTATTTATTTATTTGAAAGAGTTACACAGAGAGGAAGAGACGGAGAGGGAGGAGAGGGGGAGGAAGAGGGGGAGGGAGAGCGGGAGGGGGAGAGAGAGGGGGAGGGGGAGAGGGGGAGGGAGAGGGAGAATCTTCCATCTGCTGGATCACTCCCCAATTGGCTGCAATGGCCGGAGCTGAGCTGATAGGAAGCCAGGAGCCAGGAGCTTCTTCCAGGTCTCACACACAGGTACAGGGACTCAAGGACTTTGGCCATCTTCTACTGCTTTGCCAGGGCATAGCAGAGAGCTGGATCAGAAGTAGAGCAGCCAGGACTTGAACCAGGCCCATATGGGATGCCGGCACTGCAGGCAGTGGCCCCACCCACTACACCACAGCACTGGCCCCTCCTCTTAATTATTTTTTAAAAAAGATTTATTTTATTTATTTGAAAGATCTACAGAGAGAGGTAGAGAGAGCGAGCGAGGTCTTCCATCCGCTGGTTCACTCCCCAGATGGCCACAACAGCTGGAACTGCACCGATCTGAAGGCAGGAGCCAGGAGCTTCTTCCGGGTCTCCCACGAGAGTGCAGGGGCTCAAGGACTTGGGCCATCTTCTGCTGCTTTCCCAGACCATAGCAGAGAGCTGGATCGGAAGAGGAGTGGCTGGGACTAGAGCCAGCACCCGAATGGGATGCCAGTGCTTCAGGCCGGGGCTTTAACCTGCTGCATCACAGCGCTGGCCCCCTTCCTCTCAATTTTTAAGTGTTCTTTACATACAAGAATATGTCAATGCATAGTACAGTTTGTCCTCGTTTGTCAGTTACATTTTAAAATTTTTAAAAAAGAATTTATTTGAAAGGCATAGTGGAAAATAGGGAGAAAGAGATGTTCCATCTGCTGGTGCAATCTCTAGATTATGATATTAGCCAGTGCTGGACCATCCCGAAACCAGCAGGCAGAACTAGATTTGGATGTCCCAGGGACCTAGCTACTTGAGCAATCACCTCTGCCACCCCAGGAGTTAGAAGCTGGAGTTAGAAATGGAGCCTGGCACCTAGACACTTCAATATGGGACACGTGTGTCTTCACTGCTTTGCCAAATACCCATCCTGTGGTTTACCTTTATTTATTTATTTTTTTTAAGATTTATTTGAAAAGCAGAATTACAGAGATATCTTCCGTCTGCTGGTTCACTTCCTGATTGGCCACAATTGCTAGGGCTGGGGCAAGTCAAATCTAGGAGTCAGGAACTCTGTCTACATGGGTGGCAGGGGCCCAAGGATTTGAGCCACCTTATGTTGCTTTCCCATGTGCATTAGTAGGGTACTGATTTGGAAATGGAACAGCCAGCACTAGAACCAGTGTCCATATTGGATTCTGGTGTTGTAGGTAGCTAGCCCACTATGCGACAACACTGGCCCTGATGCTGATTTTTTTAATGGTTAATTTAAAGATATGTTCTCTGTCCTCTTGTTATTCTGAGGGCATTAGTTTTGTGTAGTTTTATTTGGCCTTTTTGTTGATCTCTCTTTATGAAGGATCAACGGTGAGATTCAGAGATTCAGATTTAGGTGGCTGACATTATCTTCAGCTACCAGTTCTGTATATCTGTTTGTGTGTGTGTGTGTGTGTTTGTGTTTGTGTATTTGAGTGAGAGAGGTGAGGGAGGGGGAAGTACAGAGCATGTGTGAGTGCTCCTATCTGGGTTCACTGCCCAAATGGCTGCAATGATCGGGGCTGGGCCAGGCCAAACCTGGAGCCAGGAACTACATCCATGTTGCCATTGAGGGTGGCAGTGACCCAGCCACTTGATCCACCACTGCTACCTCCTAGGGTCCACATTAGCAGGAAGCTAGATCAGACTGAACCCAGGTGCTCCAATATGGGATGCATGCCTCTCAAACAGCATCTTTATTGCAAGGCCAGATACCAGTGTGGAAGAACACACATTGATGTGACATAAAATGAAAGATTGAGAAGCAATACAGACTTGATAACATTTTTTATAGTAAAATTCATTCTGATTAATTATATTTCTTTCTTTTTTAGGAAAATCATCAACGTGTTAGCATTTTCTTTGACTATGCAAAACGTAGCAAGAACACTGCCTGGCCCTACTTTCTGCCAATGTTGAATCGCCAAGATCCCTTTACTGTTCATATGGTAAATTTTGAATTGGTTACATTCTTCATTTTTTTTTAACTACAGTGTAAGAAGGGAATATATTTTTTAAACATTTGTTTTTTTCATAAGTTAACAGCTAAAATTGTGATCACATTCTGATTTAAGCAAGAAACAAATCTCCTCTGTTTATGAGCAGGTAACTTGCCTGCTCCCAGAGGAATGGCTGCTGTTATTAGCTTCTCTTTTTAGTGTTCAGTAAAGAAGAGTCATTGAAAGATCAGAAGGAGAAGGTTTCCTCAAATGGAGTTAAAATTTTTTAGACTATAATGATGATTTCATTAGCATCAAAATCTGTGGTGAATTTACACATACCAACAGCTCAAGCTTGTCTATAGCAGGATTGACCATGTTACTATGGAAAAATTTTGCTTTGAAACAGTGACTGCATTTTACTTTTATTTTAATTAAATGATTAAAATTACTTTTTAATACTTTAAATACTATGTTTGGCAGCCAGCCCTAACACTGAAGAATCTTTTATGGTGTTTGGAGAAGGGATGAAAAGGTTGAGAGAATAAACCTTTGCACAGCCATGCCTTCTAAAATCCCGTCATGGAGTAGGCTGTGTGTGTACAGCCAAGAGACCTGAGCATTGTCTCATAGATGCCTTTTTTTTTTTTTTTAAGATTTATTTATTTTACTTGAAAGTCAGAGTTACAGAGAGAGAGAGGGGTAGAGAGAGAGGTGGAGAGACATAGAGGTCTTCCATCCGTTGGTTCACTCCCCAGATGGCCGCAATGATTGGAGCTGCACCGATCCAAAGCCAGGAGCCAGGCACTTCTTCTAGGTCTCCCATGCGGGTGCAGAGGCCCAAGGACTTGGGCCATCTTCTACTGCTTTCCCAGGCCAGAAAATCCAGAGCTGGATTAGAAGTGAAGCAGCCGGTACTTGAACCAGCGTCCATATGGGAATCCGGCACTGCAGGCAGCAGCTTGACCTGCTATACCACAGTGCCGGCCGCTCATAGATGCCTTTAAAAATTTTCAATTCAAGGACCAATGCCAGTGAAACATTTTTGAGCATGTGTGTTCTCTCCCTCTCTCTTTGTCCTTTACTCCCCCTCCACATGTATCTATATTCATTTATATGCCAGTGTATTTGCATACATTATAAAAAGAGAAAAAAGAGAACTCATGAAATAAGCAGTACATTAAAGAATATTTAAAAAAACTTGCTAGCATATTCTTTCAAAGAGTAGGAGCATGTTTTTATTGTAGAGATAGCTGGTTTAAAAATCTCCCTAATGTTGTAATATAATTGACAAGTTATATTATAGAACAAGTATACACCAAGGGCACAATTCACCATTAATTGTGTAGCTAAATCCATGTTAACTTCTTGATGATAAAAAATCTCTTTTGACCAATCTTATCAATTTTGAGGGTCAGATTGTCATTGGTATACTATGTACCAATGAAGAGCTTAAGCTAGGGAGTGGACATATCAGGTTTCATGTTCCTTGGTCTTTTCCTCTGTATTTGTATACCCACTGCTACTGGTAGTAGTTTTAGTTTTTGGGTTCCAAACAGGAATCTTATGAAGTCAGCTTTTTGTCATATACTGTATTTGTAAAGTCACTTATCTGAGCCTGTGAAAACTTCAGCATGTCACCAATCAGTAGTGAGGGAGTGAAGGTGCTCTGGTTATAGCCCCTGTGTGCAGAATTCTACATAAACCAGGGCACTCAAGCAAGTGTCTAATCTTACTTTTGGAGCTTAAAATAATACAAGGCTCACTTAAATGTAGAGTCTGGAAATTCAGGGTGATCTCATAGAGTTTAGAAATATAATTGTGGTTACCAGAGGCTGGAGAGGGAAGGGTGAAGCGAAGGTCAGGGAAAGGTTGATTAGTGGGTGCTAGGTTATTGCTAGATGAGAATGAGTTCTGAGGTTCTGTTACATAGTAGGGTGGCTACAGATAATATACTACATATTTTGTTACGAAGAAACTAACAGATAGGATTATTGGATGTTTTCATTTTAAATAAATGCTACAAGTTTGAATAAATAAATGATATGTTTACTTGATTGGACATTACATAATGTATACATGTACCAAAACATCATTACTATGTACAATTTTTTACATGTCAATTTTTAAAAAAAATAAAAAATATTAAAGTGGGAAAAATGTGGGGAATGGTACAAAATTCATAAAATGCAACCAATTTTGTTTCACTTTAGTGGAAATATTAAAAAGTATATTTTGAATGTTTATATTTCAAACTTTTTAAAAATGAATTATAAACAATGGTTTTGGGCAAGAGGTGAGTGTTAGAAAAATCATGTAGCAAAGTGGTTACAAATCCTGGACTTGTTAGGAACAGGGTGAGATTTTTAGAATCAATATAGTATTCAAATGTTTTTCTCTTTTGTTTTTAGGCAGCAAGAATTATTGCCAAGTTAGCAGCTTGGGGAAAAGAATTGATGGAGGGCAGTGACTTAAATTACTATTTCAATTGGATAAAAACTCAGCTGAGCTCACAGGTAAAAGAAATTCCTTCTAGTATCTTTGAGTGGAATGTAACATCCATGTTCTCTTAAGTTCTTATGGTAAATATGTTAAAATTTTTAAAAAAAATAATGCCCTTTGAACTTGGTACATTCACCACACTCCTCTAAGTACAATAGAATGCTTTGCTTTCTTTGTTTGGCTGCAATTCAAACCTTTCTGTCTTTTCTGCCACTCTGCATTTTCTACTCCTGCTTTTCAGAGGTCAGGGAGTATCTTGTGTTCCAGGTGGCTGCCAAGATTACAGTACTCGAGGTTGAAGAATTTGGTTTTTCTTCAAGATTGATTTATTTATTTGGAAGAGTTACAGACACACACACACACACACACACGCATGCACACACACATACATACAGATTGATTGATTGTTCATCTGTTGGTTCACTCCCCAAATGGATGCAATGGCCCAGGTTGGGCCTCGCCAAAGCCAGAATCCAGGAGCTTCTTCTAGACCTCCTACGTGGCAGGGTCCCAAGTGCTTGAGCCATCTTCAGCTGTTTTTCCAGGAGCATTAGTAGAGAGCTTGATCAGATGCTTGATCAGCTTGGCATCGCAGCCTGGTGCTTATGTGGGATGTTGGCATTGGAGGCAGCAGCTTAACCTGCTGCACCACAATGCTGGCCGCGTAGGTTGGATAATTGAAATGACCTGCACAACTCCACAAACACTCACATGAGACTTTTGACAAAGGAAGAGAAGTGGTACAGCAGGAGAGAGCATGCAGATGAATTCTGGGGTTGAGAAACTACAGGCATAGCTTCCATTTCTGCCTTAGGGTTGTGAACCACTAAGATTTGTGCAAACTTTTGTTTTGGGAGACTTCTCTGAAAGTTTCTAAATGGAGTTTTTAAGTCCTTTTGATAACATAACCGGACCAAACTCTCTAACCAGTGATACCAGTAAACAAAGTGCCCTGGGTGCTGCCAGGAGGGTGCAGACTGAAAACACCACATTATAGATCAGCCTGCGTGGTATCCCTAAGTAAGCCTGGAGCTGCCAAAATGACTCTGTCTCACACAGTGGCTTCTTCCCTTGATTTCACAGTTTCTCAGTGGGATTGAATAGTGAGACTGAAAATTAAGACATGGCATCTGCTTATTGGTTGTCTTAGTTGCTTCTGGGCCTCTCTAGCTCACTTTTCCCTGGAGGAAAAGAGCTTGCTGGTGTGATAGCCCAGAAAATGACAAGTTTTCTGTTTTTAATCTTCATGATTCTTCAGGATGGGGCAAAGACAGGACACTTAGCATGGCTCTGAGGAGGCTTTTTGTTAGGCTTCCAGTAACTAAATGCTACGTGAGAGGTCTAATGTGATTGATGCTCAGAAAAGAAATGAAATGAGGGTGGGGTGAGCACTATCTGGAGAAGAAAAGACAGAAGAGTGTATTGAGATTTTGGTGTGGGGTTGGACAACATGAAGGAAGGAGACCAAGAGGAATACTTTTTCTGGTTTTGTTGCCAACAATAGATTAAAAATATGTCTATTTGAAATAGACTTTTTTAGTTTTTATTTTTTGACAGGCAGAGTGGACAGTGAGAGAGAGAGACAGAGAGAAAGGTCTTCCTTTGCTCTTGGTTCACCCTCCAATGGCCGCCGCGGCCGGCGCGCTGCGGCCGGCACACCGCGCTGATCCAATGGCAGGAGCCAGGTACTTCTTCTGGTCTCCCATGCGGTTGCAGGGCCCAAGTACTTGGGGCATCCTCCACTGCACTCCCTGGCCACAGCAGAGGGCTGGCCTGGAAGAGGGGCAACCGGGACAGAATCCGGCGCCCCGACCGGGACTAGAACCTGGTGTGCTGGCGCCGCAAGGTGGAGGATTAGCCTAGTGAGCTGCGGCGCCGGCCGAAATAGACTTTTAGTAAGTTGTAATGTAGATTTCAGGAGACTTTGCTAGCGTTATTTTTACAGGTTTTAATTTGAGGCATGAGAGAGAAATGTCTTGACAGTTGGTTAGATTCACTATTGATCTTATCATTGTCTACCTTTGTGAGAGAGCCTAATTGCCTTTTGTATTTGAATAATTTTTTAAAAGATGTATTTATTTATTTGAAAATCAGAGAGAGACAGAGAAAGAGACAGAGATCTTCCATCTGCTGGTTCACGCCCTAGATGACTGCAGTGGCCAAGGCTGGGCCAGGCCAAAGCCAAGAGGTTCATCAGGGTCTCCCGCTGGAGTGCAGGGACCCTAGCACTTGGGCTATCCTCTCCTGCTTTCCTAGGCCATTAGCAGTGAGTTGGATCATAAGTGGAGCAGCTGGGACACAAAGGGGTGCCCATAAGGATGCTGGCATCGCAGGCAGTGGCTTTATCCACTGTGCCACAACGCTGGACCCTGGATGGCTATTTCAGTGTCTTGAACAAAAATAAATCTTTTAAATGTCAGTAGTATCAATTTTAGCCTCTTTCTGGACTTAATTTTAAAAGATATTTTTAATAAGAACCACCAATTTCTAGATTTTACTGTTTGTGAGGTATTTCAAAAAACAAGTTTTTAAAACATGAAAAATCAGTATCTGAAAATGAGGTTTCAAATTTCAAAATGTTTGTTACTTTGACTTCAGAATGCTTAACTAGGAAACACTGCTCTGCCCCTCTCCCCCATTTTCTACTTTGAAATTCTATCTCCCTTTATATAAACTTCACCCTGCATCAGTGTTGGCTTTCTGATACTAAGGGCCTCTTGTACCTGGGTCATGAAATAAAATTGGTGGAGAAGAATCTCTATACTACTGCAGCATGCTGCTAGCTTTGTGGGCCCTTTCACCTTCGACTTCTCATAGAAGTCACATTTATTTCTTGCCTCACAGGTGATTTGCCTTTCCTGGAATGGTTGACTGGTTGTAACCATGGTGGGGGAGACATTTCTGTCATCACTAGTGAAAGATAAAACAGATATCTCCGTGTCTAGAACACTTCTAATTAGAATTGAGCTACTTGATATTAGATAAATGTTCTTCAGGACCTCTTCTGTGTCTCTTAAGCGCACTCTTTATCAGTCTTTGGCTTTAACTCGTGTTCTGGCCTTTCTGCTCTGTAAGCCCTTCTGCTATTGGGCCCCTCAGCAGGGCACCTCGTGCCTCTGGCTTTGCTCTTCAGAGTCTGGTCTTGCTTCAGCCTGCCTGTTATCCCACTCTCTTTGGCTGTGGGCAGACACATCATGTGCAGAGCCTTTGATCAGGATTAAATTATAGACTCCTTTATGAAGGTTGTGTAGCTGCTTTGTTCAAATGTCACATATGACATTTGTTCAAATGTCATATATCTGGTTTATCTGGAAGGTCTCTTTTTCTCTATCATGTGTGTTTTCTCCCTTATAAAGAGGACCACAACTTCATGATTCTAATAGAAATAAACGTACAAAAACCAAATTAGTTGCAACTTTGGGTATTTTTTTCCTCTGACTTTATGTGACATTTGGCAGCCTCCTTTTGGTAGTTTTATGCTTTGTTATGGAGGCTTGTGCCTGACACTTACTGAATCAAACAAAACTTTTCTTTTGGGAGTTCATTATCACTTTTCTCTTGCACTTTTCAACTTCTGACTTTCTGCTTTAAAATTTCTTTGGTCATTTCTATATAATACCTGAGATTTTGTTTGTTACTTTAACTTGATAGTACTTCTCTAGATAACCTCGTTTGATACTATATCATCTCTTCCTGTCATTAGGCACCTATTTTGAAAAACTTTGCTCCAGAATATAGTGCAAATAGTTCAGTTTAAAGCAGTCATCTTGCTGGTAGTCATTCAACAGGTAAATCCTGAGACTTAGAAATTTGCACTAGCCTCACAGAATTTAACTGGAGCTTAATATTCAGTTTGTTAGTAATTTATTAAGAAACTATCTGGAAGACTGTAATGAAATTCAGAGTATTTTGTCATCCTCATGCTTTCTTCAAGTAGAATTAGAGAAATAATTATAAAATTCATCCAGCTCCCTTCTGTAAGATGTTAATTTAGGATAAAATTAAAAACAAAACTAAGTAATAAGTTATTTATTTTGTAATAGAAACTGCGTGGTAGCGGTGTTGCTGTTGAAACAGGAACAGTCTCTTCAAGTGATGTAAGTATATTCCTTCTTAATTCACTATCTCTTAACATCCTAAAAATAAATTATTTTGAGTCACAGAATTCTTAAAGTGTTTACTAGTTCCCAAACACTTAATTTCATGGATTTGTTTTATCACCTCCAATTAGGTTAATTGTGTTGCAAAACTGTATGTAAGTGTTTATGGTCCATAGTGGTCCCTTCTTCTGTGATAGACATGAGACTTGTTCTTCCCTATTGCTCTTCTTTTTCCAGATCACTTTATTTCAGACCTGAGAGTCAAAGCAAGAGCCTAAATTCAGATGTATAACTGGAGTGAATAATCATGAAATCACTCTCTTCAAACTTCAGTTGTCTGATAAACAGTCTAATGACCTAATTGACAGGAGAACAGTGCATCAGTTGCTGGGAACTGAGTTAAATGATGGCACCGAAACTTGCAGCTGCACCATGCTGCTCAGTGCTTTAAGTGAGACTATGTGAGGGCCAAACTTGTTCCCTACCTTTTTCATGATCTCTCCATACATTTTTGTAGAGCCAGAAGATTAAAGGTTAAAAACTGTCCTATCTCCCAATGGTCGTTTCTTGACGTAAATTATCTTTCCTTCTTGGGAATGAGTTAACTTTGCTGTATCCCAGGAATAGCTTAAGATAGCAATAAGTTTGGACTAGTCAGGTTTGGCATGATGGGAGCCAGTCTAGAGAAAGAGGAAGAAGAGAAATGTAGGTGAGGTGCATATGATTTCGTTTGTTGGAAATATCTCTGGGAAACTGGGAAGTGTCTTTAGAGGGTGTTGTCTCTAACCTGCCTGTAATTGACCTAAATGAAGCTCTGTAGATACCATTTAATTAATGCCTATATTGATTACTGAGGCTTCTGTAATTACCTGTATGTGTGTCCTAAGACTGTAGCTGGCAGCAGAATCCAATTCTTTCTTTAATTTACTCATTTTCACTTTATTTGAAAGAGAGACAGAGGGACAGACAGAAATCTTCCATCTGCTACTTTACTGCTGAAATGTTCACAACAGCCAGGGCTGGGTCAGGCCAATCCGGGAACTCAATCTTGGTCTTCCACATGGGTGGCAGGGACCCAACTACTTGAGCTATCACCCAGGGTGCACATTAACAGGAAGCTGAATTGGAAATGGAGGAGCTATATCTGACACTCTGATGTGGGATACAGGCATCCCAAGCAGCCTCATAGCTGCTGCACCAAATGCATGCCCCAAGAATCTGTTTTCAGGGCTAACAGCTGGGATTGTCTTGGGGTGTAGGTTGATAGAAATGGAAATGAATCTTCCAAAGTGGAATCAGAGGAAGCTGTCAACTAAAGAAGCCATCTTAGAGCCAGGGTGGGGAGAAGTAGTAGGTAGGGAGTCTAATTATTTGGTCATAGGCAGGGTTTCACGTGGGAATCTTTATCTCGTGTGCCTTGAATTATTACCAGTTTGAAATTTTTGAAAAATTGTTCAGTTTTTGTATTTTATACATATTGGTGGATTTTTAAAAACAGATACTTTCAGGATTGTCTTACAAACTTGCCTAGGTAGTTGTTACAGTGTTGGTAAGTTATTAGAGCTTAACATGAGAAGGTATAAGCTCTGCAAACAGGACATTCTGATTTTGCTCTTCTTTCTCCAGTGTACTGACAAAACAAAACTGATAAGTTGGACTGGCAATGCGTTAGTCAAAGTGATTTATCAGTGGATTCATACACCTATGTTCCAAATGGAATTAGTGGGTGTAATTGTGAGAATGGAAAAGACGGCTTTTGATTTCTCTCTTCTCTTGAGTACCCTTCAAACCTGAACATTTTCTGACGCTTCCTGAAGGCTCTCACTTTTTCAAATGACGGTCACTTGAAAAGAAGGCCTCAATAAGTGGACTGAGAAAGGTGTCACCTCTTCCTTTGATACCTGTGTTTTAAAGGGGGAATCTTAGTCTAGTAGGTACTAATTATTGAGCACCTACTATATACATGGCTCTGTTTTACTTATTTGACATTTACATACCCTTGAAGATCCACTTGCTGTCTTTTTCGTTGGTCATACTATTAGCCACACTTTGTGGCTGAGCCATGGGGCCAAGCAGCAAAGTGTACCAGTGTGCCCAAGTCATATAACAAATGAATGGCAGAGCTGCAACAAAATGGGTTACTCCCTAAGAGAACTGGACTGGAATTGGATCTTTAATGCATCTCTCAAATCAGAATGTCTACTCAGATTTTTTAATATATCCATATCATATCTTAAAATCCCCTTAGGTTTTCAGAATGGAGACAAACACAAACTGCATTCCATAACATTGCCACTTGATGGCAGTATAAGACAAACAAAATTTTGCATTATGAAATGCAAAATGAACACAGTTCAGCAGTCTTTTAAAAATAGTCACAGCAGTATTATCATGATTTATCAGTGGATCATTACAAACATTTTAATTTAAATGACATTATATAAATGGGACTTCCTCAAAATGCATTATCTTTATTTAGTTGTGAAAATAATAGACAACATCAAATTACAGGTAGTTACCTTAAACAGCCTGTTCAGTTCTTTACTGGTTCTTGAAAGGGAATTATAAATCATCTCTTCTGAGGAAGCATCCCTGCCTGGGAAGTAGATTGTTGTGCTGATGTCCTGGTAAGAGGATGCTGTGATCTCTGACCTTTGGAAAATTTAGAAAGGATCTGGGAATTTTTTGCTTGTTTCTTTGTTTCCCTTTTTCCTGTGCCCACTTTCTTTGTAGGTGTATGTAGGAGAGCAGGGTGACTTCTTGCTCCTTAATTTGACTGTAACCTGTTCTCTAGCTCCTGTTGTTACAGATCCTAGTATAGCATTTAGTATTGCGTGGTGGACGTTGTTTCACAGGTAATAAGTGACTCAATGAAGTTGTACGTTCTCCTTTGATCTTGCATCTTAATGTTTCTGCAGCAGCTCTGTTCTTTAGACTTGTGATGATAGAAAGGTTCTGTGTATCCACACTATCCTCTACAGAAGCCTTGTATGTCACTGGAGCACTTGGAAATGTGGCTAGTGAGAGCAAGAAAGTAAATTTTCAATTTTAGTTAAGGATTTTTAAAAGCAGCTTTATTGAAGTAGATTTTACATACCATGATATTCATTGATTTGCAGGTGGGTGGACCTTAGTGTATCTGAGCTGTGCAACCATTGCCATAGTCTAACTTTGTGACATTTGTAGCACTTCAAAAAAAAAAAAAAAAAAAAAAAAAAAAGAAACCAAATCCTGTACACATGAATAGTCTCTTTCTCATTTCTACTCTCCTCCCAACCCCTGGCAACCACATATCTACTTTCTATCTTGGGATTTACCTTTTTCATGTAAACAATGATACACAGGGCCTTGTGTGCCTGATTTCTTTTGCTTAGCATAATGTTTTTTGAGATTCATCCATGTTTTAGCAAAGCTAAACCTAACAGCATTTTAGATGAGGAGAAAATATTTCTTTTTTTTTCTTTTTTTTTTTTTTTTGACTTTTGACTTTTGACTAGATTCCTTAAAGTTGTTTTCTGTGACAGTTCTGATTCTGATGTCCTTGCTAGTAGAGGTGTTTTTTTTTTTTTTTTAATCTTGTCACTTTGGCTTTGTTTTTAATTGAATGCTGCACTGATGTGACATTTGGCCATTTTGCAGAAGAGGGGAGGACTCCCTGGGTTTAGTGCTTCACTTTTTGTTGATAAATCCATCAAAAGTGCTACCCAGGAGCCAGAGTTGCGGTGCATTGGGATAAATACCCTCTTGCAATGCCAGCATCCCATATGGCCACCAGTGAGTCTAAGCTGTTCCACTTCCAATCCAGTTCCCTGCTAATTTACCTGGGAAAGCAGCTGAGGATGGCCCAAGTGCGTGGGACCCTGCACTTACATGGGAGACCTGAATGAAGCTCCTGGCTCCTGGCTTTGGCCTGGCCCAACCCCAGCCATTGTGGCCATTTAGGGAGTGAACCAGTGGGTAGACTATCTCTCTTGCTCTGTGTATCTCTCCCTCTCCTTCTGTAACTTCTTAAATAAAATAAGTCTTAAAAAGAAAGTGCTACCAAGCAGCAGAAATCAACTGGCTGTGAGAAACTCACATAACACAGAAAATCTGTTGCTTAACAGTAGTGTGCTCCAGCTGTGAGTTGTGAAGTGTGTGGGGACTCAGGGTACCTCAGTCAGTTACAGTCATCCTCCCTGCATATTCATATTACCTGGAAAATACCAGAAATAACTCATAAAATTTAAAAATAGATTTAATTATAGTCTATTATTGTAATTGTTTTATTTTATGATTTGTTATAGTTGTCCATGATTTGGTGTGCCTAATTTATAAACTATATAGATATGTATGCACACATGGGAAAAAATAGGACATTTAGTGTTCAGTACTATTCTATAGTTTCTAGAATTCACTGGCAGTCTTGGAATGTATTCCTGGCAGATAAGTATTGGGAAGAATCACCTGTACATGTCTTTTTGTGTGTATTTCAGGAGCATTGTTACTCACCTAAAGCAGTTTTTGATGTTTTTTTATTGTCTTTTTATCACAAAGTTAATATTTTTCATATATTATAAATCTTTAAAATATGTGCATGGGAGAATGTTAAGAGACTGCAGGAAAGATAAGAATCTATGACTTTGGTTTTTCTGATCAGATTTTGGAAGGATTGCCTGGAGGTATATTTTAGCAACTCAAAAGAAAGTTAAATGATTAATATTTGAGTATCAGAGTTTCTTTTTACATGTCATTTTCAAATACAGCACCATAAACAATAGTAGTAATACTATATCTTAAGTATGTTCTTGGAAGTTGTACACACAGCAATAATTTATATAGTAAATCATGTTTTCTTAGTTACATCGATAATCCCTGGGCTGGCATTGTGACATAATGGGTAGGGCCACTGTCTGTGTGATGCCAGCATCCCAGGTGTGCGCCGGTTCCAGTCCAAACTGTGCCACTTCTGATCCAGCTGTGTGCTAGTGCACCTGGACGAGCAGCGGAGGATGGTT